GCTGCCCCATCCATCATGGGCTTTCTGGTGTATTTCCAGAAGCTACTCGCTTCTCTGCCTGGAGCCCACCTCCTACACTCTGTCTTTCTGTCGGAGAAGTCTCATGATATTTGAGATGTGTTTTGTTTTGTTTTTCTTCTTCAAGTAAGAGAAGAAATGGGGGTGGAGAGGGTGGCCCTGGCTAGATTAGGGAGCTTGGTTTCTGAAGGCAGAGTGCATACTTGGGTGAGGAAGCCAATCTATATCACAGATGCCACCCTGACAGCTGTTCAGCCAGAGGAAGGCTGTCCTGAGTGACAGAAATGACCATGTCCCTTTGCCCTTCTCTGCTCAGCTGCCTTTGGCCCAGCTGCCACGAAGGCAGAAGCACAAGACAGCTGCACGTTGGGGGCTGAATGGAGGTCTGGAGGAGAGGGACAGGATTCGAGGCAGTTCCTGAGAGAAGTCAGGCTCTGATACTGTAGGTGGGAAGACTGGGCCAGCCAAGGTCATTTCCTTGGCAGCCCACCACAGGCCAAGTCACTGGGCTCCCAGCGTCTCCACAGCGGCTGTTTTTGGGAATTCGGCTCAGTGAGTTTGAAACCAAGTCCTGTTTTCTAAAGATGGAGTGGTGGCCTAGCTGGAGAAGCTGACCCCACAGTTGGTGGCAGCATGGTCATTCCCATGTCACTTCAGTCTAAGGATCTCCTCCCTTTGCTCCACATCCACATGCATATGTCTACTTCTGGGGGGGAAAGGCGCTTGAAATGACACAGTTGACAGTTGCTGCTTCGGTACCGATGATTTTCTTGTTAGCTGAGATAATAGCTACCACTTGTTTTAGTGATTATTCCATCCTAAATGTGTTACCTTTGTGAACTGTTATAGCGCCCCTATGAGGTGAACTTTTTTCTTCATCTTTTGTGAAGAAATGGAGGCTCCGAGCTGGCTCATCCAATCTGGGAGCACGTTGGGGAGCCTCCTGCCTCAGGGATTCATTCAGAGACGGTGGAGAAGCCCTCCTGCCGTAGCCAGGTCTTCCATATCAATATTTAAGCAGCACCTTTAGAGATCAAGAATGGTGAAGGGAAAGATTTTAGTGGGGATAACATCTATGCATGTGGACTTGGAGGCTGGGGGTGTGAGCTGGCCAGCAGCCAGAATGAAGGGCAGGTTATGGGGTCAAAAAAAAGTCTGATTTTGTCTGTGCTCCAAAATCAGAGTGGAAAACTAATCAATGAATTCTTTCAGTCAGTGCATATTGATCAGACATCTCCTGGGGCAGAAGCCTGGTCACTCACCCAGGCAGATGTCAGAAGTAAATAGAAGTTAAAATAGAGGACATATTCCCTGTCCTTGAGAGACTTGTGGTTAATTTGGGAGAGAAAAATATACAGATGGGTCACGTGAAAGGGTGTGAACATCAAAGGACAAAACAAAGTCCAGCGAAATCAGTGAGCAGTTTCTGGCCTGGAGGCACTTGGAGGGTAAAGGTAAGGGGGAGGGCAAGTTTCAGCTCAGTGTGATGACCTTGGCAACTCACTGCCCAAATACGGAAGGACATTTGTTAGAACGAGCGAGTTTCTGGCCACAGGAGGAATTCAAGTGGAGGGTGGGAGGTCAGGGGGTCCTTGAAGGGAGTCTTACTCCAGCGGGTAGTGGTATTGGGATACAGTATGTAAGTCCCTTCCAGCCCTGAGCTCCTGTGCCCTGCCCCACCATAGAGAGGGTGTTGGATGGGCCCACTGGCTGGCTTTAGCATCCTGCCAACTAGCTCTAGAACTACCACCGTTCAGGAGGTGCCAGGAAACACAGTGCTCCCTGGCCTTGCCACCTACTTCTCACACTGCCCTAGGATCTGGGACAGGAGAAGCAGTGAGGGGACAAGTAGGACTTAGTATTTTGGTTTCTTGCCTTTGCACTGACCTTGCTGGACAGACTGGCTAAGATTTCTTTGAAAGATACCACCAGGGCACTCTGACTGTCATCAGTGGCTCATCACCTCTGGGGGAAGGGAAGTACAATCAGTTCTTATACTACGTAAGGGAAACGTAGTCTTCGCTAGTCATGCAGATCTGAATTCCTGATTTCAGTAGTACTCACTCTTTGTTCTTGGTTTTGAACCTGGGCCCTAGCTTGGCCCAAGTGTAGCATTCTTGGTTAGCTCTGTGGTCCATAGCCTTCGCTGATGGGTGGGCAGGAAAGGTCCAATGGAGGGGGCCAGGAGGTTTTCCATACAGACTATGTCAGTCTGATCTGAGCAGGCTGGAGCTGTGGTTGCTGGTCTGAGTTTCCCAGAAGAGTCACCCTCTGTGCCAAACCAAGTGTTCCCACCCCAGTGGTGCCTGGGAAATTGTGCTCTCGGCAAGGACATTAGCGCCTGGTGGGACGTTGGATTTCAAGGAGAACCAGAGCTCCAAGAGCCAAGGGGCCCTGAGGCAAGGTTGGCTGGGCCACCTGATGGTTGATGGTGGGGAAGAGTGCTCAATGGTCAGTGACTCACACAAGAGCAGCTGTATCTTATTTTTTAAATTTATTTTTATTTATTTATTTTAACTAATTTTTTATTGTATCTTATTTAAAAAAATTTTTAAAAATCTTTATTGTACAAAGTGTTCCATATGTCCCCCTTTTCCCACTAGTAACTTCTTCTAGCCTGCCTCCACGAGCAGCTGTATCTTTTTTTTTTAAAATATATTTTATTGATTTTACACAGAGAGGAATTGAAAGGGACAGAGAGTTAGAAACGTCGATGAGAGAGAAACATCGACCAGCCGCCTCTTGCACACCCCCGACAGGGGATGTGCCCGCACCAACGTACATGTCCTTGACCGGAATCGAACCCGGGACCTTTCAGTCCGCAGACCGAGGCTCTACCACTGAGCCAAACCGGTCCCGGCCAGCAGCTGTATCTTAGTCCTGCTTCTGATCAGGTGTCAGACTATGGTACCTGTACCAACAGAGATGGAGTTGGGAGGAGTCCGGTCCTCTATTTCAATGTGGGGGAACAAGGAGAAGTAGAAACGTTAGGGCAGTGCAATCATCATCAAAACTGGCACGGGGACTTATGCCCAGACCAAGTTCTCTCAGATCTCCGAATGCTGCAGGGTTAGTGCATGTGGAACAGTTCAAAGACTGTCTTCAGCTTTCATTTTGCCCGCATGCCGCAGGTCAGGCCTGTGGTGCAGTGATGACAAACAGACTGACCATCAAGACCCCAAGAATCTTGGCGTAGAGATGAGTTCCATGGTCCTTGGTGTCTCTTCAGGCCTTGCTTTCTTCAAAGCAAGATGGCTCCAACGTGCCCCAGAGCACACAGGCTCTGAGGGCGTGGGCAGCAGGTGCCAGCATGGAGCTGGGATTCCAGCGGCAGCTGAGGATGAGCTCGCAGAGCAGCCTTTTGAGATGTGTCTGTGTTCACACTTGGGCTGAAGCTGGGCTGAGGGAAGGAGGGATGTTATGATTGTAGAAAGAAAAAAAAAAAAGGCTTTGTGACGGGGCCTTTCTTCCTTGACAGCCTTTCTCCCCTGGGCGCCCCCCGAAGGCAGGCCACGAAGACCGCACCCCAGAGGTATCCTTTGAGTGCCTGCCTGAGGACCAGTCAGCTAATTCCCAATAGTGGGGCTTTGTGTAGCCCAAGTTTGACATCCGGGTCTGATGGCAGCAGCTGCTGCTGCTGCAGACTTCCGACAGCCTTTCGTTTCTTTCTTTACGTCTTTGTTTCCCTGAGTACAGCTTCAGATCTCCTGATCTACCCCGGGCAGGAGACTTCCTCATTGTCTCGCTGGAGCCAAGCTGCTGACTCTTAGCCTAGTTTAATCCCCGCATTTTCAGGTGTGGACATTGAGGCCCAGCGGGGTGAAACGGGGTCACCCAGCTGGAAAGGTTCCTCTGCATGAACTGGTTTCTTTAAGCACCAACCACCCCTTCCATCCTGCCGCCCACTCATGCCACATATCCGATACCATCTCCAACAGCAGCCCTATTTTCCCAGCCTGATCTCACCTGCCTATCCAGGCTCCCCTCTCTCCTCTGATGAGTTTTAACCGACTCCAGCCTTGCCACAGATCAGACTGAAATAAGGCAGGCAGGCCTCTGGCGCTCCTACCGACAGAGAGGGCCATGCCTGTGGGCCTCTGTTTTGTCCAAAGTGGATTCAGGCCAGTCAGCCTGCTGTCAGGGAGGGCATGCTTCTGGAAACTTCCACCCAAGCTTGACCGGCTCAGACCTGTATTAGCTCAGGAAATCTCCACCAACTCCCCACCCCCTAAGCATCTTCTTTCCCCTGACTGCTGCGGACCCTCTGGGCCTCTAATGTCCCTAAAGCCTGCCTGGGGTGGCCTTTCCTGGGGCCTCCCTGCTTTCCTCAACCCCGGGCAAGCCCCAAGGACCACTCCGCCTCTCCTTCCCTCCCTCCTTCCAGCTGATGATCCCTGGATAATTTATGCAGCAAATCCTCTTTAATCTTTAATCTAGGGTCCTGCATAAAGGGAACTTCCTGTCTCTTCTCAACAGCTTGGGTGGAGGTGGAGCATGCCTGCCATTCCGCCGTGGGAGGTGTGAGGGGGTATGGATAATCAGTAACTGGGACCTAAGTCAGATTCGCATCCTGAGAACCTTGAGGGCTGGGAGGAGGAGAGGAGGAGGGTTAGTGGTTTCTCTCCAACTCATGGGGCAAACCCCCTCTCCTTCCAAAGGCGTCTCCTGGGGGTGCCAGGTGGGCCCTTTCTTTCTCTTTGGGGGTCTGGCTCAAGCCCCGATGGTGATGCGCTGCCCCAAGAGGCCGCTCTTTGGGAGCTGAGTAAGGAAGCGCCAGGTGACAGTGCAGCGCAGTTCTGAGCGCCTCCCCGCACCCGGCGCCTCCGGGGATCTCGGGCTGCAAGGTTCGCCCGGAGGCCGGCAGCCCCCTGCCCAGCGTGCGCCCTCACAGCCCTCCCCTCCGCAGAGGTGCAGACCCGCCGGGCCGGCTCGCCCCGCCCCTGCCGCCGGGCCCCGCCCCCGCCGGACCACACTCGGGGCGGAGGGCGGGGGCCGGCGGTGCGGCGAGGGCGGCGCGCAGCTCCGGCCGCGGCTCCCTCCGGCGCTGTCCACGCTGAGCCGGCCCAGTCCGGGCTGCAGCCATGGTAAGGCCGGGGGGCGGGGGGACCGGTGGGGCTGGGGCGCGGGGCCAGGCCGGCCGGGGCGCGCGGGGCCTGCCACTCCCGGGCGGCTCGCGGCGACCCTCGGCGCCGCAGTCCTGATGTGCCGCCGGGCGGGAGGCGCTGTCGCCGGCCGTGGGCATAGGCAGGCGCTGCTCTGTCGCCGTTGTTCTCCCAAGTTTCCACTCCTGATCTGAGCGGCTGGAAGCGGACCCCGACCCCCGGGGTGCTGCCCGTGTTGTTGGATGAAGGGGTGGGTCCGTGGTGTGGGGTGCGCCGGCTGATAAGCGCTTGCTTTGCTGGGGAGGGCGCGTCAGCGATAAGGCGAGGTGAGCGTCCCCGCCCTTGCCTGGGTCAGCTGTTAGCTGGGGGACCCCTCCTCACCCAGCTTTCCTAAGCTGGGGGGGGGGGGGGGGGGAAGGGGCAAGCACCAACTTCCTCTGGAAAACACACAGAGGAGGCCCACCAACAGTTCCTGCCTCTTCAAGAAGGGCGATGAGCCTCTTGGGCCCTCCTTCCCACACAGCCTGGCAAGGGGCTAGGCAGCGTGTGAGCCCTCTGCCCCACAGGGCCTTCTGCCCAGACTCCTGAGAGAGGGAAACCCAGCCCACCATCTATCTACTCTGCGGGGTCAGCTCTATCCCTTTACTTCTGAGAGAGAGACCAAGGGGAAGCTTCCTCCTGCAGCATCCTACACGCGCCCTCCCCCTTCCAAACCAGGTCCCTCTGCAGTGGTGGGGGGTGAGATGAACTCATTCCTGCCACCTGCCTGTAGTGGGAGGAGAAACAGTAGCCCCAGCCAGCTTCCCCGGAGGCCCCCAGGTAGGAAGTTTTGACGTTTGGCCAGCTCTCCTCCTGCCACTGTTGCCAGAGCCTGCCTATGCCAGGTGTCAGGGCCTCAGGCCCCGTGCCAGCTTCCCCTCCCAGGCTGGAAGCCCCCCAGCCTTTGCCTTCTGCCTTGGGAGGCACAGGCTGTTCACAGCAGGAGGAGGTCTGTGGCCAGCCTGTGGGTCAGGATGTTGGCGTGGGCAGCCTCCAGGAGGGAGCTCCTTGCGCCTCGTGGAATCAGAAGTTTCTGGGTCTGGAAAGGCCAACCTTTTGGGCTCTTGTGTCTCAAGCTGTGTCCAGGCGGAGGCCCAAGTCTTGGCCAGGAAGTCTTGGTGACCCTGTGACTTTCCCCAAAGGGGGGTTCCTGGGAGAGGCCAAGTGGTGTCAGTCTTCATCCCTGCCTCCATCCTTCTCCCCACACGGGGACGGACAGACGGATTGTTCCAGAGATGGAAGCCTGGGGGAGCACTGATTGTCCCCAGTGCCAAGGGCAGCAGAAGCCAAGATGGGCTTTTTCCGCCACACACCAAGTTCAGTTCAGCTGAGGTCTTGGTGCTTTCAGCTTGGCTGAGGCCACCCTTTCCTCGCTAATTAAAAACATCCCCCCCCACCACCACCACCACCACAGTCATCAGCCTCAGGACCCCGACCTCAAGCCAGCCCAGTCCTTAGACTGACAGGATGGAGTCCAACCAGCCTCCTCTGTGAGGGTCCCTTTTTGAAAGGAGATCAGTGGGGCTGCTCTGCAGCCCAGAAGCCCCAGGGGGTTTAATTTGCATGCTAAAAGGACATTAATAACCACCCTGAGATTTTTGATGCACCGGGTCTCTCTCCCGGGTTCAAAGCAGTATGAGGATCTCACCTGGGACTGCTTTCTCTCCCCAGCCTTCCTGGGCGTCAAGGAAGGGCCATTCACAATTGGATATTAAGGCCCTGAAACTAAAACACTATTCACAATCTCAAAGGGTGTTTCTGGCCAAACCAGAAACTCTGGGCTCCTGACTCCTAGTCAAGTGCTCCCTCTGCACACTCCCAGCCAGGCCTCTCAATCTGTCTCCCACCTGATTGTCCACTTTTAAAGCCCCTGGGACGCCAGCCTTCTGCGGCCTGAACGCACGCCCCTCAGAGACCAAGGGCCCGCTGACTCTGCCAGAGATGGAGCGACACATGTCCCCAAGGGTATCTTTAGGTGGGAGGAGCCCTCCGGGGCGCTCTGCAGGGAAATCTAGGTGCCGATTTCTGAAGATAGTGGGGTTCTCTGCTGGAAAAACACGAAGGGACACTTGGGAAGAAGACTGGATCCACTTCCATGAGAACCTATGACCAGGGGATTCTAGGACACCCCCCCCCCCCTTCAGCGCTGCTTAAAGTTAAGATGAGAGAGATTGGAATCCTTTGGGAGCGGGGTCTCCTGGCTAGCCAGCCCCATGTACATACGGGCCAGGTCACCTTGGGGATAAAGCTCACGACCCTCTGAACAGGTCTCGGTGTCCTTGGAGAGGTCAAGTAGATCGAGAACCTCTGCTGCAGACAGGCTTGGGAGGCTGGTGCTGTGCCCACCGGGGTAAGCAGCCGGCAGGCATCATGGGGCAGCCAATCAGAGGAGGAGGGAACTGCAGAGAAAGCCAGCCATCCTGCTGCAGCTGAGCTGTCCTTGGAGGGTGGGAGCCAAGGGAAGGGGAGGACGAGGGGGTGGGGAAGGACATTCCACAGGCTTTTTTGGCCCCTGACAGAGACAGGGGGGTTACATAGAAAGGGGAAGGAGCAAGCCAGGGCACAGGATTGCAACAAGAGCATCAAGACCAGGCTGTGTCTGTGTGTGAGGAACTTTGCCCGACTGATAAAATTAGACCTAGAGCTTGCCGACAGGGAGCTCGAAGCGTGGGACATGGACCGTTCAGTGGGATGTCAAGGCAGCTCTGTCTCTGAGGACAGGACTGAAGCTGGGGTAAGGTACTGTTCGGGGAGATGGGTGGACCTGACCCGTCTTCCCCCTGCCTTGTCTGGGCTTGGGGCTCCAAGTCAGAAAATGATATTTGGTCGTGGGCAGAGCTGGGGGTGGGGAAGGAAAGACAGGCGGGGAGGGGACCTGACTCCTTGTCTAGGGCCCCCGTGGGCCCCTCCCTGCTGACCAGCAGCCCAGGCTGGCCGGGAGAATGGTGCTGGGTTCCTGCAGGCTCCGCTGGGAGAGAGTGGGTTGGGGGTCTCTGTCCATGCCTTCCCTCTCTCTTCCCTGCTCAGCTCCCTGGGGAAACCAGGGGGAGCACAGTCCTCTCCCACCTTTCATCTGACGCCCAGACCAACGGCTGGGCCACCGGGAGGTTGTACAAGGGGCAGGATTTCCTGGAATTCCCCAGACTTTATAGCTGTCGGAAAACAAGACCTGCTCCTCCTCCCCCCCTACCTCTCGCCCCAGCTCCTCTCTATTGCCATATCATTCATCATCCATCCAAGCTGGGACACTTCTGAGAGTGGAATGGGGCACAGTTAGTCACTGGACAACAAACATAAACTGGGATGTGTGGTCACGCCACTGGACCCTACAGATAATAGGGGTGGGAAAAGCCTATAAGGTCAGGCTTTGCCTCAGGACAGCCTCTTCTGGCCAGTAAGCCCCCGCATGCTGGTTCCAGTTTCAGGCTAAAGGGCCTCCTTTTCTCCCCTGTCCATGCCCCCGGAGACTATGGCTACAAGCAGGTGTGAGGGGACTCTGGAGGCGACAGCCTGGAAGTCGCTCTGAGGGGACTTTTCCCTGTAGGCCCCCCCGTCCCCCCGCAGAAACCTAGCAGTGTGTAAGTCCTCACCCTCTGTCTTTCCCTTTGTCAAATGGGGACCTGCAGGAAGGCTGTGGCCACCGCGGTCCAGGGTAGCCCCCACTGGCATGGCCATCCCTTTGTCCTGAGTCAGCCTCTGAAGCCGGCCCTTGTCCATTGTCTCGGGGCGGCACGTGGCTATTGTGAGGCAGAACTGAGCCCGGCACGGCCAGGCACCCGACCAAGGAGAGAGGAAGCTTTCGGGACTAGAGCTGAGGTGAGAGGGAGGGGAGCGGCCTCCCTTCTAAGCTGGAGCTGGTCTCTGCAGCGGAACCGGCCATCCTCTGCTCACCATCCCTGTGGTTCCTCGTTCAGGCCAGATCCCCGTCTGCATTGCTGGGTAAGGCCCAGCTCCAGCCACAGGTGACAAAAGGCAACTGAGCGGTGTTTCCCCCTCTGTGTCCCTCACATTTGCAATCCGAGTGTCCTCCCATCCAGCATCGCCTGGTCCCTCCTGGATCCCCTCCACGCACCCACAGCATCCGCCGGCAGGTGTTTCCTTCTCCCCTGGAGCCCAGGCTCAGGCTCTGGTGCGGCTCATGGTCTGGAATGAGAGGGAGTCGGGTCAGTTCTCCTGGGTACTGGGCAGTGAGCTCTGGGAGTGAGCACTCCCAGCGGAGCCTGCTTGTCAGTCGTCCCCAAGGTCCCTGACCTGCAGTGGCAGGAGGCATGGAGCTCCCTGCTGGTCCTTGAGGTATGGCTGGCAGCTCCCTTCTCTCCTCCCTCCTTGCCCTCTTGCCTCTGCCCCTCTGACTCTAGGCCCTCTCCTTGAATCCTGTGCCACATTCTCCTCTCAGCTCTGATGCCTCTGCTCCCCTTAGTCAGTGACTCTCTGGCCTTTGGGGGGACTCTCTGACCCTGGGCTTGGTCTGACCCCCAGGATGGCAGCCTCAACCAGCACCTGGTTGAGCGGGGACTTCAGGACTGGAGCTACTCAGTTCTCAAGAGCCCTTGCCAGGCTTCAGGGCTGCCGGGAGTTGCTCCTGGACCCTGGGGCCTCTCCCGGCATTTCAGACCTGTGTGTGAACAGGTGAGGGAGGGAGGGATGGTGAATACTTCCTCTGGCTTGGCGGCTGCTTTGCCTTTTAACCACAAGCACTTTCCTCTCTTCCTCTTGCCTTCTCCTGTCTTCCTCCTTCATTCTTCCTTTCCTGCCACCTACCCACCTATCCAACCCCACCCCACCCCACCCCACCCCACCCCAAAACCCCAGATCAAGCGCTTCCTGGAGGAATCCGATGATATAAATCTGAACAAGTTCATGAAGGATTTCCCGGGAGATGAAAGCGGCCACCAACCAGAGGCCAAGACCTGGGCATCCAGGCCCCAAGTGCCGGAGCCCAAGCCCCAGGCCCCGGACCTCTACGAAGATGACCTGGATTTCAGAACCTCCATGTGGCCCCACCCCTCTGACAGCCAGCAGTACTACTCTGCCTCAGCCCCTCTCAGCCCCTCAGCCTCAGCCCGGCCCCACAGCCCGTGGGGCAAGCTTGATCCCTATGACTCCTGTGAGGTAGAGCCACCAGTTTTGCCCTTACTTTTCAATGGTTGGTGCAGGAAGACACGGGGAGGGAGCAGCGAGAGCCTGGTGTGAGCGCGTGCATGTGCGTGTGTGCACACACGTTCATGCATGTTGAGCTGGGGCTTCTCTCTGTCCTGTGTTGGCCCCAATATGCATTGGGAACTGATGGCATCAGTAGGATCAGGAGCCCAGCTGGCGGAGTCTGGCCCTGCGCCTCTAAGGCTGGGCAAAGTCTGAGGAGGGAGGGAGAAAGCCTGTGTGAGGTCCTGGGGCCCCTCCTGCCTCTCGCTCTCCCTGATCCACCCCCATCTCCCTGACACTAGGATGACAAGGAGTACGTGGGCTTTGCGACCCTCCCCAATCAAGTTCACCGCAAGTCCGTGAAGAAAGGCTTTGACTTCACCCTCATGGTGGCAGGTAGAGTGGGGGCCGGGTTGGGCTGGGCTGGGCTGGAGTTTTTCAGGTGGGGACGTCATGTGCTATATGTGGGAGGGAAGGAGAAGGCAGCAAGTGGCTGTCCCTTTTTGCAAAATAGCTAGGAGCCATGGGTGCCCAAAACTGAGCTTGGGGTAAAGCGGTACAAAGAACACTTCACCGACAGGGTTCTTTTATTTGCCCTTTTCTGGGGGACCCTAGACAGTCTCTGACCCTCCCTGGGCCTCATTCAAATGAGAAGCTGTTCTCTGTTTCCTTTAGGCTCTAAAATGCTACGGTTTGGTCCACCTCTTTCCAATTAAATAAGCAGCAGCTCCCCTCACACCTTGGACTAAGCGGGGGTTGCCTCTTTGCTACAGAGCTCATCTTCTGACTTGGTACTTCTGTCCTCTCGCCCCCATCAGGAGAATCTGGCCTGGGGAAATCCACTCTCGTCAACAGCCTCTTCCTCACGGACCTCTACAGGGACCGGAAACTCCTCAGCGCTGAAGGTAAGGAAGCCAGGGAGCATGATGACAGGGAGGCCGACCTGACTTAGGAAAACAAACTCATTCCAGAGTCTGGGGGATGGGGCCTTCCCCGGCCCACAGGAAACCACGGCTCCTAGACTGACAGCATCTCTCCACAGGCCTATCTAGCCTGGCAGCCCACCAGCCAGCTCCCTAAAGATTTGGGTGCTGAGGCAGGGCAGGGACCAGAATCCTGCCCTTTGAGTGAGGCTCTGACCCCCAAAGGATTCCAGGAATCCAAGAAAAGAGCAGAGAGCAGCGAGAGGCTGGGGCCAGAGCCAACAGCCACCGGCATTTCCTGTGTTGGGAAATGTGCTCCTTGCTGGTTCCCAGAGAACAGGCCCCCAGCAGCCTCGGGGTAGGAAGGGGGGCAGTGTGGACAAGGCAGTCTGAGCAGCCAAGCTGGTTGGGGTGGGCAGTGTCTCCTGACGGGGCAGGTCCTTGCCCTGGCCTCAGTTTCCCCCTTCTCCAGAGCGGATCATGCAAACTGTGGAGATCACTAAGCATGCAGTAGACATAGAAGAGAAGGGCGTGAAGCTGCGGCTCACCATTGTGGACACACCAGGTTTCGGGGATGCAGTCAACAACACAGAGTGGTATGTCTGACCAAGCACAACCCCAGCTGCCTCCCCACCTATCACCTTTTCCATTCACACCCCCAGGTGCACACATAGGCACAGACGTATTCAAAGTTGTCAGGAGGAAGAGGTTTGTGACCTTGAGCACACCACGGCTCCTTTCTGGAAGCTGTCTCTATAAAGTGAGAGGGAAAGCATTGGAATAGATGATCTCTAATGTTCCTTCTGACTCTGACCTTGTCATTCTATAACGGGAGTGAGGACAAGATAAGAAAGAAGAGCCTCAAACAAGCAAACACATGTGAAAACATGTAGCACAGGGCCTGGCATATAGTAAGTGCTCAATAAATGGCACCCTACCTTCTTCTTTTCCTTTTACAGCGACACTTTAGGTGCCACAAACGAGTGTTATTAAAGGGGTGAGAGTGAAATGGAGGGAGGAGTAAATGGGAGAAAGAGGCGACAAAGGGGGAAGGTGGAACTTTGTTTTAACTCCAGGCACACACTAGGCTACTAGCTAAAAGAAAGGGTGGCTTTGCCATACCACCCCCTTCCCCCATCCTCCCTGCTTTTTTCTTCTTCTTTTCTTCTTTTTTCTTTTTTCAGCAACTGGAGGGATAATGGTCAGATCTGAGTGAGTAGGTAGGAGAAGAAGAATGAATGATAAAGACAGGAGAAAGGGTGGTGCCTGAAATGACGAAGTTAGACACAATAGTGCTAAGACCTCTGGACGGTGTGTTCAAATCTTGCACAGTCTTGAGCAAATAACTGCATTCCTACTTCTTCCATTGAAAAACACTGGCCTTTACACCTCAACCAGTTGATCTGAAAATCACCTAGAATGATGCATGTAAATGTCCATTGAAACCTGTAAAGGGCTGTTTACATTATACTCGTGAATTTTGAGATGATAATTGCAGGACCAGTGCAAAATTAAAATGTGGGGCCCCTTGTTCAAAATTATTAAGAATTTCTAGATGGCCACAGAGAATCAAACCAGTGCGCCTTCCCCTACTAGCCCCCAAATAACTACACAGGTTGCACACCCATGCAGCTGACCCTCGATAATCACCTCACAGACTAATCAGACCCTTACAGGCCTTTCTGTGCTCTGAACCTTCATTACTTTCTTCATCATCACAGCATGGACTTTGGCTCAGCACACTGGTTCATCTTCAGTTTCATAGCCTAAGCCTTGAGGGAAGGGCCATTTCTTACATTCTTCCCGCATCACTGCTAGTACATGTTTTGTGGTCTCCACAAATATTCCTGATAGATTGAGGTGGCCTCCATGTCAACATCACTCTTCCTGCTCTAGGAATATGTCTCAGCAAACTGGGCTTGGCCTGCAACTCTAGCTCCAACCAACACCTGGTTCCGACTGTACCATTCCCTCCTCTTATTGTCTATAATAATATTGTACTTGCGTGGCATCTCACAGTTGACTGTGCTTCTCCACCTATACTCATTTAGTCAACCAGCAAGAACTTGTTGAACATATACTAGGTGTCCAGCCTGTGTTGGACATTTTAAGGCATAAAATTCATATACTGGACACCTAATATATGAATGATCACCTAGTATATGAATGACCCTTGTCCCTGAAAGGCTCGTAGTCTAGTGGCAGTGGCAGTGGCAGTGGCAGTGGGGAGTGGGGAGCAGTAGTTCTCTAATAAGTGTCAGTTGGGTAACAAATTAGTAACTGGTCAGGCAGTGTAGTGATAAACACACTGAGCTGAAAATCAGAAAGCCAGGGACCCAGTTGGGTAGAGAATTTCCCAGCGAAGGTGATCAGAATTGGATTCAACTAGACAAAAGAAGAGAAAGTACTAGAAAATTGAGGTTCTTGAATCTATAGCTATCTATATCTATCTATCTATCTATCTATCTATCAATTTATATGTGCTCTCGTTCTCTTTACCACAGAGCGAGATTACATAATCTCTATACTATATGTATTTAAGAATCTCAGTTTTTCTATCTATCAATTTATCTATCTATCTATCTATCTATCATCTATCTCACTGTGTGGTGAAGAGAAGAGGAGAGTGTGCATTGGCATAATCAAAGGAGACTTGGTGGAAAAGATGGTTCTTGGACATGGTCTTGAAGGATAGAGTGGGTTTGAAGAGGTGGAGGAGAGGGTGGAACCAAATGAACAAAGGTTCTGAGGCTGGACCATGAACCTGACTTAGGGTTGCCTTGCTTTTCCCCAGTTGCTTTGTCACCTGGGTTCTTGTCCTCCCATCAAACTAGTATTTCTTGAACTCCGTCTCTGTGCTTAGCCTGTTTTCTGTCAGGACATGTGATGCACTCCTGTCCCATCAGGTACCTCCCTGAAGAAGTAGTGAAGCAAGCCAGGGAATAACCAAGTCTTGAAAACACTGCTCAGGGTGGGGGCTACTCTGCAGCCCTAGAGCTCACTAGGCAGCCCCCACTCCTACAGTTTCTCTGTTTGTCTGTCCCTGCCCCAGCTGGAAGCCTGTGGCAGAATACATCGACCAGCAGTTTGAGCAGTATTTCCGAGACGAGAGTGGCCTGAACCGCAAGAACATCCAAGACAACAGGGTGCACTGCTGCCTGTACTTCATCTCACCCTTCGGCCACGGGTATGGTCCGAGCCTGAGGCTCCTGACACCACCGGGTACTGCCAAGGGAACAGGCCAAGAGCACCAGGGGCAGGGCTGCCACAAGCAGGTGGTCACAGATTCCTGTTCCCCAGGCTCCGGCCACTGGATGTTGAATTCATGAGGGCCCTGCATCAGCGGGTCAACATCGTGCCTATCTTGGCTAAGGCGGACACACTGACACCTTCTGAAGTGGAGCACAAGAAATCCAAAGTGAGGGAAGCTGGTGCAGGGAGGGGAGCAGGTGGGCTTCTGGAGAGGATGGGGTCCCCAGAACTGTGGGCCCCTCATGTGTTTGCCAGATCCGGGAGGAGATAGAGCACTTTGGAATCAAGATCTACCAGTTCCCAGACTGTGACTCTGATGAGGATGAGGACTTCAAATTACAGGACCAAGCCCTAAAGGTGTGGCCACCCCAGGGCATCCCTCTCCCATCTTGTTTCTTCTGGGCAGAACAAAGAAATAGAATTCTCTGTAAGGGTGGGTTGTCTGGGGTGGGAGAGGACCCTGGTTTCTGAGAGAGGAACAGAGATGAAGACAGGTGGAAAGAACAGGTGAGAATGGGGGCGAGGGGTTGTTGACAGACCCCTCCAAACTTCTTCCAGGAAAGCATCCCATTTGCTGTCATTGGCAGCAACACTGTGGTAGAAGCCAGAGGGCGACGAGTCAGGGGCCGTCTCTACCCTTGGGGCATCGTGGAAGGTAAAGCACGGAGCTTGTGACCAGGGAACCTCCTTGCCCTCAGTGACTCTCCCCTCCCCATGCCCCTGGCTGACCCCTAGCCTTGCTATGCAGTGGAAAACCCAGGGCACTGCGACTTTGTGAAGCTGAGGACAATGCTGGTGCGTACTCACATGCAGGACTTGAAGGATGTGACGCGAGAGACACACTATGAGAACTACCGGGCACAGTGTATCCAGAGCATGACCCGCCTGGTGGTGAAAGAACGGAATCGCAAGTATGGTCAAAAGCCAGGGGGGAATCCCAAGCACAACTTTGGATGAGACTGAGCCTTTCCTCTTCTACAACACCTCAATCCAAGCAGGTGTTGGGGTCCCCTTGGCCTTACCAAGCCCCCTTTCCCTTTCCCTTTAGCAAATTGACTCGAGAGAGTGGTACCGACTTCCCCATCCCTACTGTCCCACCAGGGACAGATCCAGACACTGAAAGGCTGATTCGTGAGAAAGATGAGGAGGTGAGAGCAGTATGGGGCTGACAGCCTGGGAGGTCCCCTGCTTGATCAGAAACCTTAGTATCTCTTGGTTTGGGAATAGGGAGGTCCCTGGCCCTTAAGCATATCTGTGTCCTGCATTGGTCGATTAGTGGTTCTACCCAGGGTCTCTAGTGCAACCCAGGGCTATTCCTGGCTCAAGGGATCAGAGCTTGGGAACACTTCCCTCACATGATAGGACTCTCTAAAAGTGCCCGTTTTGATGCAATGTGCCTGTTCTAGCTGCGGCGGATGCAGGAGATGCTGCACAAAATCCAAAGACAGATGAAGGAGACCCATTAGCTGACTGTCAGCCCTGGATATTTAAATCTTCTCCTCTTCGTTTTGCCCACGCCGGCCCCTCCCAGCACCAGCTCTGCTCAGGCCCCTGCAGCTACTGCCACTTCGCCTTACATCCCTGCTGCCACTCAGAGACTCAGAGGAAATAAAATTTAACAAATATATAGTGGCTTCCGGTGTCACAGTCTGTGTCTTTACCACCTTCTGGAGATCAAGTAGATCCTAGGACCCAGTTTTGACAGGCTTCTGGAGGAGGCTTATAGTAGGGAAGGTGTGTGTGTGTGTGTGTGTGGCGGGGAGGGAGGTGTAGGGGAAATTTCCTCTCCCATGACAGGTTTCAGTCCTTGCCTAGAATAGTCTAGCACCCCCCCCCCTTTTTTTTTTTTACTCATCATTATCTATCCTGCCTCTCATATCTGGGCCTGGGCCTCTCCATTTTTTGCACATGTAGTTCTATAGAGTTTTGGATCTGGTATCTGCCTTTAGGAAAACATGGTATTAACTGCAGGCAGCCTCCCACCTTCCTGTTTCCCCTGATTTGGGGAAAGGGATATACAGAGTTCCGCTCCGTACTCTAGGAAGCCTGTGACAGAGCGCCAAACGAATGTTGGAACCTCTGTAATCACCAAACACTACTGTAAATGCTGGGAATGAACCAAGAAGCCACTGCCCTGGAAGCGTTCAGCATTTAACAAATATTTATTAAGCATCTCCTAGGATGCAGACACTGTTTTAGACCCAGGCAAGGTTCCTGTTCTCCTGGAATTTACTAACTGTAGTAAAAGTCCCAGCGTTCTATAAACAGACACGTCAAAACATTTTGGCTCCAGGACCTGGCATTAAATAAAGCACTCGGGCCCACTCCAAACTCAAGCGATCTGTTGAGAATCTGAATCAACAACTGTTCTCCATCTCTGTCAGGAGGAGGATATAGTGGTATCCGCAGCCAGGACGCCCTCCAGCGGCCACCCTGCGGCCTGCTGTCTGGCCTGGCTCCCCAGGAGAGGAAAGGGAGGAGCGAAGAGCTTGGTCCTGGGGGGGTAGTCCTAGTCACCACTCCCAGCACAGACTAGGCGGTGGCAGCCTGCTCATGGCAGTCTCAGATCCGGATTTTCTCTCTCAGATCTTTACTCAGGGCTGACGGAGCCACGCAGGTCGTGAAGGACGGCAGGGCAGGTTCGCCGATGGGAAGTGAGGGTCAATACGCAGAAGAGGGAAAACCCTCCCGCCGCCGCAGGCGGAGAAGAGAGAGAGACGGAGCCCCGGGCCCAGACTTCCTTCTGCTCTTAGCCTGCGGGGGTCTCTTCTTCCTTTCCGCTGGATGGAAGCGGGCGGGATGACCGCTGCGAAACTAGAATGAGGTGGGACAGGAGACCTTCCTGAGAAATATTCCCAAGGAGAAATCGTCACCGGAAGTGACTGCAAAGGCCTGTAACCCTGCAAGGCCCCGCCTTCCATTGCGCTACCAGTAGGCGACCAGCCTCTCCTACTTCCGGCCCCTGGAGCCTTAGCCAGCAGCCCCGCTTTTGCTGCTTTCCCATTGGCTGCCGCAGGGACGCGCTGTGATTTCCCATTGGTCGCATCTATTCTCCAGTACCGCGTCTCATCCCTCCAGGTACAGCCTTGTCTTCGGGCACCCGATAGGGCGAGGTTGGGAGGGCGTCTGCCTAACCTGGCCAATGAGCGGCGTGAAGAGTGAGGGCGGTGGCTGAGTGGTGAAGACGGGGCGGGACTTGAGGTGGCGATTGGCCAGGGCGGGTACAGACGAGGGATACGATTGGTTGGGGAGAGGGGCACCGTGGTGGGTTGTAGCTGCGCGGCCTCGGCAGCTGCGGGGAGACGGAAGTGGTGCGAGCGCGGCCTCGGAGGGTCGGGCGGACGCCGCCTGGGTGAGTCACCGTGCCCCGTGCACTGTCTGTCTGGGATCCGCAAGGTCCGCGTCTTACCCGGCTCCGCCCCGACCCCACCGGCTTTCGTGAGCCCCGCCCTCTGTCATTCGGGGCTCCGCCTCCGGGCCTTTTAGGCTCCGCCCCTGGAACCTGGGCACCTGGGCTCCCCTGCCACCCTGGCCCGCCTCCCCCCCACTCCCCTAGAGCTAGATCCCTTACGTCTAGGAACCCTGGGCCTCCCAGGCTTGGTCCACGTTTCTCCCTCCGTTTCCCTGAGGCTGCGTGCCAGTGGGCGGTGAGGCAGCACCTTTGGCTTGCCGCTTGCTGGCTGTCCCATGAGGAAGCGTGGGCTGTGATCAGGGGAGTGGGCAGGAATGCAGATGGAGGCTTTTATCCTGCACCCCTTGGAAGAAGCGGGTAGACTGCCCGAGCTCAGATAGCAGGCGTGAAAGAAACTGTCAGTGAAGCCAGGCCTTGCGCTCTAAGTGGGCCAAGGAGGCTCATCTGAAATTTGTTGCTTGTGCCCACTTAGCAGGTACTGACTCTGAGGCCTGATTCTATCCTCATTGTGGGCCTCCTCTCCCTTGCTAACCCACTTAGTGTCAAGTAACTCAGCAGGCCCTGGGCAGCTCTGCTGCCTTCTGATCACAGGTTGTGGTCCCCTCCCTCTGTCCTCTGCCTTGGACTCTGCCCCGAGTAGGACAGGTCAGGTGGGTATTACTCCCAGACTCAGAGGCCGGCAGAGCATTCCTGTGGATTCCTGTCCCCACCAGGGCCAGAAGCGAGTCCTGGCTGAGCAGCCTCTGTCTCTTCAGAGCTGGCCGTTGTTTTGTTTTCCCACAGAGAGCAGGGGTTGGAGTGTTTGGCACTTCTTCTGGGCTTGGGAATCAGGACTCTTGAATCCTGCGGAATAACCTTGGATAATACTCATTCTTGCTCCAGCACTTCGTGGCTGACTTCATACCCCGCAGAATCACTTGTTGCTTTCTCCCCATGTAGCTGCCATCGCCTCTGTCTGGCATGCTGCCTTGTAGAGGGGCTGGACTCTCGGTGAGGAATGAGAATAAGGATTGTAGAGAAGTCCAGGAGTAGATATATAGCATTTGTTGATTCCATTGTAATGTTAATGGTGTTCTTAACTCTTATGTTTCTCTGTCTCCTTCTAGTGAAAAGCAGGCAGCCAGGACCCTCACCACGGTAGAATGGTGAGTACTTTCTTCTCCCACGTTTGTGTGTCATCCTTGTGTCTTTCTCTGTGAAGCTGCCCACCCCTCCTGGACCTTGAGCCCCAGGCTACTTTGTTCAGGCCCTACACAGGTTTATCTGCTCTGGAGATAAATTAAATTTCTTTAGATCGTAAAACATCAGCCACTGGGACAGGAAGCCTTTAGAAATCGTTTTCTGCAAATGTTATGCCATACCTTCGCCACGCTGCCACTGGCTCTCTTAGCCTTTCAGAATGGCCTTTCTCTCGGATCCCTGGGAGAAGTCTCTGTTCTGGTCTGAAAAGCCAGGCCTCCTTTATCTCAAGGAGGTAAAGTACTTCCTAGTGGGGCCCTTGAATATTGTGGGTGCTGTGTTAGGAGTGGCTTCACCAAAACTCTGGGGCTTTGCCAGCTCGAAGGTGCTGCTGTCCATTAAGCTACTGTAGGCAACAGGTGACTGGATATATAGCAGGATAGCCCCATCAATATTTCTGGGAGTGGTTATAATGTTCCCCTATATTTTCCATTAACTGTAACTGTGTATTTTCCTCTAAGTCTGAAGTCTCTCCAGTCAAACAAGATAAGGCTTACTTCTTGGGGAGTTGAAAGGTTTTAGTGAGATAAAATATAGATGCTTAATAAAATGTCAGGTTTTCTTCCATTCTCCCCTTCCTCCAAAACCCAAAGCCAAATCCAAACTAAAACCTTGAAAGTTACTAGGCACAAGAAGTGTGGGGTTCCAGCCAGCTCCTTCTTTGATTCTTGGTGACATTTTGAGCCTCTTTTCACTGCTCCTGGTTCCATGGCCCTCCACCCAACTCCCACCAGGCTCATACCCTTGGGTTTCAAGTTTTGTTTTTGCATAGCTTCTGTGGTCCACAGTCCTAGCCTTCCTCTGTCTCAACCTGAGAAATCCTTTCTCTTCCAAGAAAGACTTTCTTACCCAGAAGTCTGAGAATGTGAAACAGGGGAGAGAGGGAGCGGAATGAATGGGATTGGGCAGAGGCCTTGGAATAAAACACAGAATTTCTCTTTCTGGAGTGTGAAATGACCAACCTAGCACTAGCCCAGTATCCATTTTAATGGGCAAAAGAGGGAGTGGGATCTAGTGAGGGGTGTGTGTGTGTGTGTGGGGAGGGGGCGGGAGTTGGAGGACACTGATGGACAGGGATCCGATGGGTGGTGGTTTTGGAGGGAAATGACAAAGCCTTGGAACTGGAAAGAGCATGAGGTGGTTGTAGGTGAACTCCATCGTGGGAATTTAGAACAGGCATGGAGAGAACTCAGCGGCAAGGGGATGGGGTGGGGGGAAGGGCGGGATTTGTAAAGAGGGATGTGGGGTGGCTCACCTGGGAGGAAGGGAAATGAAACGATGTAGGCGTCTCGCCTTCCCCTTTCCCGCGGTCAGGGGACAGCCCAGCAGCCCAGCCTCCCGAAAGCCCCTAGACGTCCCCGGGGGACCCTCCCCTTCCCCCCCCCCCCCCCACGCGGCCCTGGGGCCCGCGGGGGCCCGCGGGGGAGGGAGGGGCCTGTGGCTGTGGGTGGGGCCGAGGGCCCGTCCCGCCCCCGCCCTCCTCCGCGCGGCTTCGGGCGCTTCCCTCCCGGGGCTCCCCTCCCTTTCGCGCGCGTGTCGGAGGGCGGAGCCGGGCTCGCTCCATTGTGGAGAGGAGGGAAGAGGCGTGCGGGAGCCGCGCCGAGGCCCCGCCGCCAGCGCGCCAGCCTCCCGGCCTCCGCGGCTGCACCTGGCGGGCCCCGCAGCCGGGATGCGGCGAGCGCCCGGGCCTGGCGGGCAGCGCAGCGGCTCCGGGGACATGTGCGCTGGCCCAGACCTCCCGCGACCATGAGCCTGACCGCCCGCGTCTCCTGCTCTATGCTTAGCTGCTTTGTAAGTGCCGGCCCGCCTGCGTGGGCCCGGGGCCCCGGCGCTCGCTGCACCCGCAGCCCCGCCCAGGGCCAGCCCTGGAGATTCTGAATTTCAGCCCATCCCCCTTCTCAAGGATTCTGGCCGGAGAAGGGGGTTATTCTTTTTCTTCCTTGGGTTTGCTTTGATCTTCGGGGGTTGGGGATTGT